CTCTTGGATACCCATTGACCATGTCTGACCGGTCAGCTGCGGAGACATGGTCTCTACACGCGTCTCAATGATCGGGACTGTGGCACTCTTTGCTCAATTCGGCGATGGCACTCACACCTACGATGATGTGTCTTTGGGTTGAAGAGAACCAGGAGCTCAGACCCTCTCTTGGCATCAGGCATGTGTGACAGTGTCCTGGACTAGGGGTGCCAACCGATATGACCCACAGTCTCTGGACCGAGCCGACGACCCACGATCTTAACAAGGAAGGACTCTGGAAGCCTCGAACTCAGTCGTGATCAAGACAGACACTTCCGAAGACTTGGCGTACACTTTAAGGATAACTTCAAATGTTGGCATGTTTATTCCTAGTTGGCAACCAACGATGTGTAACCCTAGATACTCTGTGCATGTGTACATGTACGTAGGTCTGGGTTTTGTATGCAGTACTTGTAGTGTCTGTCTCCCTCTGTATGTACGTGTATCTTAGGAGACAAGATACCGGTCACACCCCTTGTACCTATATATATGTGCCTAGTGCACGATCAATCAATTATCGATGCACCAAATCATTCTCTACATGGTATCTATCGCAAGTCGATCCTACCGCTTTCGCAAACCCTAGCCGCCGCCTCGGGCCGCCGCCGCTGCCCCGAGCCTCCGCCACCCCCCTCCCCACGCGCGCCTCCCCGCGCGCCTTCTCCTCCCTGCCACGCCGCCCTCCCGCCGCGCCGCCCTCCCGCCGCCGCCCTTCTCCCACCGCCGCGCTGCTCCTCCACAGCCGCGCCGCCACCTTCCCCATGCCCTCGCCACCATGTCGTCCAATGCCTCCACCTACTCAAACCCCTTCGCCGTCGACCCTGCTGAAATCCGCGACATCAACGTCCACGCACGCGTTCCCGTGGTCCTCGACGCGTCCAACTCCACATACTTCGCGTGGAAGACGTACTTCTCGCTGCTCTTCCGCGAGAACAACCTCGTGGATCACGTGGATGGCACCGTTGACTCCCGCGCCATGGTCGACAACGCCGAGTGGACCGCGATCGATGCCACGATCATCCGGTGGTTCTTCACCACCATCTCCAAGGACTTGTTCCACACGGTCGTCAACGCCGGTGATGACGCCCGCACCATGTGGGTCAAGCTGAACGGCCTCTTCACCGACAACAAGCTTCAGCGCCGCATTTTTTTGCAGCAGGAATTTTTTGACTGTCAGCGGGATGAACAGTTCATTGATGACTACTGTCGCCGCTTGAAGATGTTGGCGGATGAGCTCCACGACATTGGAGCCAAGGTGGATGACGACCTCCTCCTCAGCATGCTCACCGCCGGTCTCAACGAGGACTTCTTCAACGGCGCCTCCAATCTCACCTTGATGCCGGAGCCCTCCTTCCCCAAGTTCGTGGCATACTTGCGGTTGGAGGAGCGCCAGATGAAGGGGGTCAAGAAGCGTGTGCAGCATCACGCCCTCGCCGCCGGCACCTCGCGTGGCGCCCCTCCACCGGGCGCCCCACCCGCACCTCCGGGGTACTTCCCCCTCCCGCCCGTGCCTCCCGCCCCTCCCGCTGCCCCCAGCAGCCGGGTGGCGGACGCCGCGGCAATCGCCGCGGGGGCGGCCGCAAGCAGCAACAGGTGCTCCTCCATGGACGTACGGCACCAACCCGTGGACCTGCATCGTCCCTCGGGCTCCTACTCCGGGCATCCTTGGGCCTCGCCCGACGGGCCACCAGGCTCTCTTCGCCGTGCAGAACGCGGCTCCCTACAACGGCTACGGTGCCGCCCCCTCCCTCCTCCCTCGCCTGCGCCCGCCTATGGGGCCGCGCCGGCCTTCGGCGCTACCGCCGCGCCAGCCTACGGGGCCGCGCCTGCCTACGGCGCCGCCGCCATGTCGGCCTTCGGTGCTGCCCCCGCGTCGGCCTACGGAGGGTTTTACCCCCCTCAGGTGCCGCCGTCGTGGGACCCAGCCCTGCTTGCTGCCCTGCACTCCGCCCCGTCCCCGAGCTCCTATGGTGGCGGTGATGACTGATAAATGGACTCGGGTGCCACCGCTCACATGACTGCTCATCCCGGTAACCTCATGTCTGCCACTCCCGTTCATACTCCCACCTGTATCACCGTTGGTAACGGTTCCTCCCTACCCATTACACATGTCGGTCATATGTCTTTTCCCTCTACTTCTACTCCTGTCAATATGTCTAATGTTCTTGTGTCTCCAGACTTAGTCACTAATCTTATTTCTGTTCGTCGCCTTGCTCGTGAGAATCCTATCACTATTGAATTTGACGATATCGGTTTGTCCGTGAAGGACGCCCTTACATGGATGGTACTCCACCGATGTGATAGCCCGGACGAGCTTTACCCAGTGCATCCCTCCGGCGCCACCTCCACCCATCGTCCCGTCGCCTTCGCCGCCAGTGTCGATCTTTGCCATGCCCATCTCGGTCATCCCAACTCCACCGTTATGCGTCAGATTCTTCAGAGTTTTTCTTTCTCATGTAATAAGGTCGACGATCACACTTGTGAGGCTTGCCGTCTTGGCAAGCACGTTCGCCTTCCCTTTAGCGAGTCTACAAACATTACCACCTTTCCGTTTTAGTTATTGCATAGTGATGTTTGGACGTCCCCGGTTGCTAGCAACACGGGCTATTTATACTATCTGGTGATATTGGATGATTTTTCTCATTATGTGTGGACATTCCCTCTCCATTGCAAGTCTGACGCTCTTGCCACACTCACAGTCTTTTATTCATATGTCACCACACAGTTCAGTCATCCTATTCTCGCCTTGCAGACTGACAACAGCAAGGAGTTTGACAACGTCACCGTCTGCAATTTACTTTTGTCCCATGGCACCATCTTTTGTCTCACCTACCCCTACACGTCCCAGCAGAATGGTCGCGCCGAGCGCGTCCTTCGCACCATTAATGATTGTGTTCGCATGTTGCTCTTCCACTCCTACGTGCCTCCTCGGTTCTGGCCGGATGAGCTCGCGACCGCCAGCCTCCTTATTAACATTCGCCCCTGTCGTTCCCACTAGAACTACACTCCTCACTAGCTCCTCTTTGGTGCGGCTCCATCTTATGATGGTCTTCGC